GTGCTGTCCCCACGCTGTCCCCGTGTCCCCGCGCTGTCCCCGCGCCGTCCCGCACCGGTGCACGACGTTGTCGGGGTAGTTGGTGTAGCCCACGGCGTTGGCGCCGCGCAGAAGCATCTGGAAGGGGATGTTGGGGACGAGGCGCCGCAGCTCCCGCAGCCGCTCCCAGGGACACTCGTGCAGGAACCGCATGGCCACGTCAAAGGTGGCACCTGGGGACACGCCCGGCTCTCAGACACGCCCCGAGCCACGCCCATCAAAACATAGCCACGCCCCTCGTGGGCCAGCCACGCCCATCAAATGATAGACACGCCCATCGTGTGCAAGCCACGCCCATCAAGTGAGAGCCACGCCCCATGGCAAAGCCACATCCATCAAATTATAGCCACGCCCCTTGTGTGCAAGCCACACCCCCTGAGTGTAAGCCACGCCCATCAAATGATAGCCACGCCCCTCCTATGAAAGATACGCCCATCAAATGATAGCCACACCCCCTGAGTGTAAGCCACGCCCATCAAATGATAGCCACGCCCCTCCTATGAAAGACATGCCCATCAAATCATAGCCACGCCCCTTGAGTGCAAGCCACGCCCATAAAATGATATTCACACCCCTCCTATGAAAGCTGCGCCCATCAATTGATAGCCACGCCCCTCCTATGAAAGCCACTCCCATCAAGTGATAGCCACGCCCATCTCATAATAGTCATGCCCCTCACGGGCTAGCCACACCCATCAAACGATAGCCACGCCCCTCACTTCAAAGCCACGCCCATCACGTGCAAGCCCCACCCCAGGGGAGAGCCACATCTTTCATGTGCAGGCCACGCCCATCAAAAGAGAGCCACGCCCCTTCATTCAAACCCTGCCTTTCCCCCTTGGCCACACCCCCATGTTCCTGTGCAAGCCCCACCCACAGGGAAAGCCCCACCCCAAAAGCCCCACCCCAGGAGCCACACCTTGTTAGACCCCTCCCATCACTGCCCCGCCCCATCAGACCCCTCCTTTCTTTGCCACACCCCATTAAGCCCCTCCCATTTGCCACACCCCATTAGACCCCTCCCCTTTCCCACACCCCATTAGTCCCCTCCCCTCACTGCCACACCCTATCAGATCCCTCCCCTGCTTTGCCACACCCCATTAAGTCCCTCCCCTTTTCCACACTCCATTAGACCCCTCCCCTTCCCTGCCACACCCCATTAGACCCCTCCCCTCACTGCCACACCCCATTAGTTCCCTCCCCTCACTGCCACACCCCGTTAAGCCCCTCCCCTCACTGCCACACCCCATTAGTTCCCTCCCCTCACTGCCGCACCCCATTAGACCCCTCCCCTGACTGCCACACCCCGTTAAGCCCCTCCCCTCACTGCCGCACCCCATTAGACCCCTCCCCTGACTGCCACACCCCGTTAAGCCCCTCCCCTCACTGCCCCACCCCATTAAGCTCCTCCCAAGGCCCCACCCATTAAGCCCAGCCCCAGCCCCGCCCCGTTAAGCCCCGCCCCTCGGCCCCGCCCCGTTACCTCCCCAGGTCTCCAGGCTGCAGAGGGGGCTGAGCGCGTGGGCCACGAAGGGCGCGACCCGGGCCAGGTCGCGCGTGCGGACGCGCGTGGCCAGCAGGGACTGGTGGGCGTCGCGGAAGGTGGTGTCGGTCAGCAGCAGCCCCCGGTGCCGCCGCAGCGCCCGCGCAAAGCCCCCGGGACCCTCCCGCTGCAGCACCGCCCGCAGCCCCGCCGGGGGGGCTCCTGGGGGGACAGCGGGGACAGGGTCAGAGCGTGGGGACAGCCAGGGGACAGCCAGGGGACAGCCAGGGGACAGGGTCAGAGCGTGGGGACAGCCGGGGGACAGCCAGGGGACAGGGTCAGAGCGTGGGGACAGCCAGGGGACAGCCAGGGGACAGC